CATGTGAAGGCGTTTGTTCTTAGATTCCCTCCGACGTATGTCAGCGATGATAAATAAGACACAGATCATCATTCTTCCTATCAATACAGTGGTGCGCAAACGTGCATACCATCAATCCATCCCTCGCCAGGAGATATTCAGATGGACTCTCACTTATAAATCACTACAGCATGCTCAGTGGCAGAACATAACGCCATCAGGAAAGCTTACGCGGACGCAGTTGCAGTCGCTGTCACAGTCTGGCCCTGATCGTTGTATTCAGGTACAGCAGCAAAGTCGGTCGCGATGCCGAACACCGCATTGAACGCGTCCGCCTGTGCATCGGTACCGACAGCGGCAGAGCTAGCCGTAGATGCGGCAGTCTGTCAAGTCATTTTCACGAGATCGTTCGCGCCGCAGGCGTCGTCGACCTGTTGACAGATGAAGCTGGTGATGACCGCGATACCATCTGCTGAGCCTGATGAACGGATCAGAATCTGCGATGATCGATATAGCGCACAGTTGCGGTACTCACCATGATTGTACGAGCTTAGGGCGGCAGGACGGAATGAGGTCTCTGTGCGGCCGTCGAAGCCATCGCAGTGCCGGAGACAGAGGAAGAACTGCAGTCAGCCCCAGAAGCACAGCCGGTTTCCCTAGCTTCTTCAGCGAAATGAAGGTCCTCCTCACCTTCGCTCGGGCCCATCCTCCAGTGGCAAAGAAATCCAAGCTCGACAACTTGAGCGAATCAGTCACAGAGTCGGAGACGGAGTCTGAGAGCGACGTGGACTCAGCGGCCCCTGTAACGCAAACAACCAGTAAGAGATAAGGGTCCATCGTGAACGCCAACGTACTGAGATTCTACAGCTGCAATATCCACCCAAGCTTCATCCACGAACCAGAAAGTCATCCCTCCTTCCCATCTTCGAAAAGTCACGGTGTATTCAGGTTCTGAGACTGAGTCAGACAGCGAGGCTGAGGAGTTTGCTGATCAGGTGAGCCTCCGGTCACAACTGGAGCATCTTGATCAAACTAAGGCATCATCTATTGTATTAGTATATGCAGCCTCGTCCGACATTCCCCCTCAAACCTGGACAGAAATATCTAGGTCCCATGTTCCTCGACGACACGCATGCGGTACCTGCAAGGATTGACACATTCCTTAGAGAGTACCAGCACGAGGGCGTGCGATTCTTCTGGGAACGGTACGGCGATGACAAGGGCGGTCTGCTGGGAGATGATATGGGCCTTGTAAGCAAGCCATGCTTTGACTTCTCCAAATTTCACGCTCCTAATCGTCTCACTATCAGGGTACGTTCCCTGTTATACGTCTCTGCAGCCTAGAATCACAAAGGTCAATGACACTGCACAGGTGAAATAATCCAAGTAATCTCATTCCTCTCCGCCATCATGCAAAAGCACGGGGATAATCGCGACATAGACCGACGGCGAAAGCACGTATACCATCTACAGGACATCTACCCGGACTGGAGGGAGCGTCACACCCTGCCGCTTGCTAACCAGACATGGCCGATGTGTCTCATCATCGCGCCAAGCTCCGCAGTCAGGAACTGGGAGAGGGAATTCGACACGGTGAGCCGCTTATGTCATGGTACCTTGGTAGGGTGGCGCTTAGGACCTTGCGGCTAGTGGGGATA